TAAACGTTGAAAAAAAAAAAAAAAGAAAGAAAGAAACGCTGGAACTGGATTGGTTGTTAAAAGACTGGCTCCTGCCAACCTACCAGTTGTGTGTTTCTTGGGTAAGCTACTTAAGCCCTGTGACTCGGTTTTCTCATCTGGAAAGTGGGATGAATAAAAGTGTCTACCTCATAGTACATACTTTAATTGTGATGAAGGTTAAATGAGTTAATATTTATAAAGCAATTAGTGCCTGGCAAGTGGTGTCATATGTGTTAGTTACATAAATAAAACACAAAGGAGAAAAGAACTAGAAGGACACAGCATCACAAATGATAGTGATGGAATGAAGGGTCAACACAGTCAAATGTAATTAAGAGGTCTGATAAAATATGGGAAATGGTCATTAGGTTTCTCAGTAAGGGCATGCAGCAGAGATGATGCTATACAAATCTATTTCTTTTTGCTCTTGGGCAGCCATATTACATTCCACAGTATACTCGGTAGCAGATGAAGCCATATGATTGTGTTCTGGCCAATGAAGTATAGGCAGGAATGAGGTATGCCACATCCAGGTCTGGCTCCCAACATCCTCTGAAATTCTTTACATTCTTACTCTTCCCCCATCTAATATCTTACTAATAGGGAATTAAGTAGTGGAGAATTCTGAATGCTGCTTCGCCTCTCCCCCCACAATACACTTGCTAAGCCACTGAGTTTGCGGGGGAAGGGTGTTGTTTGCTACAGTAACTAAGTTTACTTAACCTATTACAGGCTGCTAGACGTGTAGGTAAGAGTAGAGGCTGGGAAGCTGGACTATTTTCTGAGAAACTTGGCCAAGAAGGGAAAGATAAAGAAGGGATTATCTAGAGGGGAATGCATGGTGGAGGGAACATGTTTTTGTATTGGCTCTGGCTTCTGTGATGCTTCTGAGCTGACCATCCTCTTAAGAACCTTGAGACTGAGGGGCTAACCTCAAAATCTGGTCTCTGCACCCCTGTTCCAGGCAAAGCCCTCTGGGACTGTCTAGGCCTGTGGCTTCCTTGGTCTTTCACAAGGATAGCACACAATGCTTTAAAAAAAATGGTCACAGCCATATTCTCCAGATGTTGTTAAGAAACAAAATTCAACCGAGGGGCACCTGGGTGGCTCAGGCGGTTGAGCATCTGACTTCAGCTCAGGTCATGATCTCACAGTTTGTGAGTTTGAGTCCTGCATCCAGCCCTGTGCTGACAGCTCAGAGCCTAGAGTCTGCTTCGGATTCTGTGTCTCCCACTCTCTCTGCCCCTTCCCTGCTTGCATTCTGTCTCTCTCAAAAATAAATAAACATTAAAAATTAAAAAATAAAATAAAATTCAACCAAGTAAATTTGAAGATATAATTGGCCTTATTAAACAATTCATGAATCAGGCAGCACCCCATCTAGCAAGTAGAAAGGACCTCCAAGCAAGAGATACACAAAATGTAAGATTTTTATAGGAAGAAATCTGGAAAAAAAAGTTTTTAGCAAAAGAAAAGGACAGTTCCAGGCAAGTTTCTTTTCTGTTAGGGGGAAGAGCAGGGGATTTTACCATGCAGATTACCTTATCTTCCTCTGGGGGAAGGAAAGGGCCCCATTGGTGCTAATTAGAAAATTCCTGACTGACCAGTTAAGACTACATCTCTGGGAAGGTTGAAACTGATGGGGTTTTATAGTGATGAGGGTTTGGAGCTGACAGCCAAGAGAGAATTTTCTTGAGACGTCTTTGGTGCAAAAAAGGTGATTTTATTAAAGCACAGGAACAAGACTTGTGGGCAGAAAGAGCTGCACTGGGGTTGTGCAGAGTGACTGGTTACCTACTATGGAGTTGAGGGAGGTAAAGGCAAAAGGGAGACCTACAGGAGGACTTTGATATGCTAAAGAAGACTTATACATAAGATGCCTGCGACCTTGCTATTGCCAAGCTAAGGTTGTTTTCCCTCTAGTAAGGCATTAACATTAAAACAGTAGAAGGTTCCTGGAGAAAAGTTACACTCTATTTTTACCTCAAGTATTTGTCAATGGGCTGCAGGTTATGAGGAAATTTAATTTTACCCGCCATTTCCTTCTTCCCTTTGTACCTGTATCACCATGGAGGGGAGGGTGATACTAGGCGTTCCAGGAAACTGGGTCTGTAGGTTTCTGGAGATTAGGCTATTGATAAAATTGCCTTTTTCTTGTAATTTACTAAGATATTTGTAAACCGATGGAGACTCGTGTCCTGTATGACTGTGATCTCTGTCAGTTGGCCATTTGTTTTCTTTCCTTTCCTTTGCTCTTGGGCAGCCCAGGAATGCCTGAGGAATATCACACATATCCTACCTGGTGTGTGTGTGTGTACACACGCTTTGCCCTCAGCTTGCCTTTTGCTCCCTCATCAAAGCCACAATTAGTTTAGGCATTAAGCCCCAGTTTGGAGACTCCACTTAAGTGATGCGGGTTTGGGCCTGTGGTTTTCTTTTTAACAATGTTGCAGAAGAGATCACTCCTCTGGGATTTTGTAGGCAGAGAGCTCCATAGGCCCCATCTCAGCCATTCTATTCTTCCCCCAAAAAGTGATCTTGGGGAGACAGAGGGGAAGTTTGGAAATGTTCCTGAAGAGATGTTTCTGAAAGGGATTAGGAATTAGTTGGTATGATCCAAGAAGTGGCACCAAAGCATTGGTGTTCTTGGAAAAATAGAGCTGCCTCCAAAATCCAGTGACCCCCAACAACAAAAATAGCTGAGAGAGAAAGGAAAGCAAATCTTGTATCCCAGCTCCACCCCCAAGGATGAAAAGCCAGTGGTACGTGTAAAATTCTAGTTTCTCAGTTCCCTGCTCCCTGCCCCCTACCTAGTGGCCTCTTCAGATTCCAGTCTGAGGACCTAGGGCAGAGATTAGGTAAATGAACTGTGACCCAGTTTTTGCATTTGAGCTGCAAAACACCTGGGTTGACCTGGCCTGGGTTGGGGGAAGGGGCCTTCCTGCTACTGCCAAGCTCTGTCCTGAGTCTCACTGAAATCTCAGAGCCATTTTAGAGCAGTGAGAAGAATCTGGAAACTTGGGTTCAAATTTTAGCTTGGCCAGTCATCCTCTGGGTGAATTTGACGCTTCTGTTCCTCACTGTGGAATGAGGAGGAGGTTCAAACAATATTTAGACATCTCTCTAAAATTGCTAGGGGAGAGGGCACCTGGATAACTCGGTTGAGTGTCCAACTTCGACTCAGGTCATGATCTCACAGTTTGTGAGTTCAAGCCCCATATCAGGCTTGCTGCTGTTAGCATAGAAGCCCACTTCAGATACTCTGTCCTCCCCTCTCTGTCCCTCCCCCACGTCCCCGCGTGCGTTCTCTTAAAAATAAATAAAACATTAAAAAAAAAAAAGTGCTAGGGGAAGGGCATTGGGTGGCTCAGTCAGTTGAACTTCTGATTCTTGATTTCAGCTCAGGTCATGATCTCAGGAGTTGGTGAGATCGAGCCCTGCATCAAGATTGAGTCCTGCTCTGCCCTATCAGTGTGGGGGCCTGCTTCGGATAGTCTCTCTCTCTCTCTACCCCACCCCCCACCCTTACCCTGCTTGTGCTCTCTCTCTAAAAGAATAAACATTTAAAAAAAAAGAGTCTACAACTCTTTTAATGTTTATTTATTTTTGAGAGAGAGAGAGATACAGAGCACAAGTAGGGGAGGGGCAGAGTCGGATGTTTAACCGATTGAGCCACCCAGGCACCCCAAGAAGTTTACAACTCTTGATCTCGGGGTCATGAGTTTGAGCCCCACGTTTGGTGTAGTAATTACTTAAAATAAAATCTTAAAATAATAAATCAATGTGCCAGCAGAGGGATTGATTTGAATTTTATCCTAGTATTAGCCAATTGGTTTGATCCAAGGAAACATTGGAAGAAGGGAAAGGGGTATGTAAAGGAAACACCCCTGATCCCACCGAGATGGTGGCTGGAGCTACTGACAGTCAAGCCCTCTCCCCACTTTCAGGTTTCTTGTAGCCCTCTCACACTGCCCACTTCTTGTGCTTTAGGCATGAGCATATAAGAGAGAGAATATGGTTACTTAGCCTTTTTTTCCCCCAAACCTGTTCTCCTGCCTGGAGGGGATGGGGTATGATTTTGGTAAAGTATTTACTCCTCCATGTAACAGCTGAGGCCAGGGGTACAGCGGAAGCAGATCAATCCCACCCTCACCGCCATGCTAGTTTGCCTCTTCTACACCATAGGCATTGAGCAAGTA